TTAAGTTCAGCTGTGTGAAGACATGATACTTTTTACTTGAGAGGTAGATAAGCACAAAGACACTGATCCAGACCTCTGAGTTATGGAGTTGCCAATCTAATAACACCAATTGCCTCCTCCTGTTCATCCTAACTTCTTGTCATGCAAGATTAGATAAAAGTCTTGGGTAAAAGCCCCTGCTAGCTGGCTTCTCTTTGGTTTGCTGTTGAAAGCATTCTTAACTATTGTAATTACTTATCTCATAGAGTACTACTGAAAATTAAATGAGGAATCCATTTCAGCACCTGGAATATAGAAGGTACTCCATATATGCTCATGGAATTCATTTATACATTCAACATTGCTGATGAAGGTGCTCAATTCAGTGTTTCCCTCAACTGAAGTCTCTCAACCATGAGATAACTGTAGAATGGGAAGGATGCTCATAATTCTGAGTATTTGTCATTTATTCATTCATCAAATATTTACTAAATGGTAGGTAAGGTGTTAAGCTCTGGAGAAACAATGATAAGCCTATTAATAGGCATAATCTCTGTCCTGGAGCTTAGAGTCTAGTGAAGGGGGATGGTCAATGATCAAACACCACTCAAGTAAATGTGAAATTACAAATGTGACATGTGCTTTCAAGAAGAGGGGCATATTGTTACAGCAGTAATGGAGAAATGTATCTTCCCAGTATGCCTATCCCATCTGGGAGAGCCAGAGAGTCTTCCCTGATGATGAGATGATTAAGCACTGATCTAAGGGGAAGTTAGGAGCTAGTTAGATGCGGGACAAAAGAGAGCAAAAGTTTAGGGAGATAGAATAGTAAATGCAAAGACCCTGGGCAAGAGGGAACATGATATGTTTGCAATTGGTACTTTTATTTTTAAAATTTATTTTGATTAAAATGATATAAACAAGTAGATATATGTCTATAAGTTGTATATGAGTATAAAACTATATTCATAGGCTTAAAAGCCAACTAGCTATATTAAGTAATAATATAGAATGTAATACTGCTACTGAAAACTAGCAATCCATGCCTGACTCTGGCTCCACTGTCCAATCCTACTCCTAAGATGCAACCTTTTTTTAATGACCTTTCTTTTTAAAATTCTAATATTTACTTCCATATTTCTAAATAATATGCTGATTGGCTGACCAGAATACATTTCCATTTTTTTCCTTTCTTGCCTGCCTTCATGTGAGGGTTTGGGAAAGCTAAATACCCATTTTTCCAGCCACTCTTGCATGAGGGAGGTGACTGTGTGACCCCAGTTCTGGATGAGGACATGAAGGCACTGGAGGCTTCTAACATCAGTGCTGGAATGGCTGTCCTGATTCATGGCATAGCTGAAGATGACACCATCTCTTTCCCCTTCTTACTGCCTTAAACATTGATGCAATGGCTAATGTTGAAGAGATCATCTGTGTCCACAAGAAAAAGACCAGAGGATCTCAGAGATTCCAGAATTAAGCATCAGAACTGAAGTAAGCAGCTGATAACTTTCAGATCTTTTGTTTTTTTAAAGTGAAGAAAACTAGGGGTGTCTGGGTGGCTCAGTCGGTTATGCAACCAACTCTTGATATTGGCTCAGGTCATGATCTCACGACTTGTGAGATTGAGTCCCACCTCGGGTTCTGTGCTGACAGTGCAGAGCCTGCTTGGAATTCTCTCTCTCCCTCTCTCTCTCTGTGCCTCTTTCTCTCTGCCCCGCCCCTGCTCTCTCTCTCAAAATAAATAAACTTAAAAAAATTGAAGTGAAGAAAGCTAAATTTTATTTTTCTAAGCCACTGTTAATCAGCTTTAATGTTACTAGAAGCTCAAAGCATTCCTTACTCAATATTTATGTTGCTAGTTTTTGATTTATGAGACTTAGGCAACAACTATTGACTTTCTATTATGGTAGATGATGACATCACTATCTGTCCCAACATTCCACTTCCTCCTCACCTGCGTGGCACTACTATCTTCCTCCTTCCTGATTGAGTTTTATCACCGGTTTTAATAAACTATCATTCAGCAATTCCATTATTATGATCATATGAATATTATTTGCTGTCAAGCCAAATACGTACTAAGATTACCAAGATTTCCATTCTTCTATAATTTCTTTCCCCCTAGATCTACTGAATGCTAGTTACTTAGTTTCCTTTGTATCTATTGCTAAGACTTTCCACATCCTCAAAGAATTTCTCAGTACAACTTTCCACAATGTTAAATGTAATCATTGGATTCCACCCCTACTGTCACCCAGAGACCTCTGTTGAAAGAGACTCTCTTTGAGTCCGCTACAAAGCCACTATTCTGACCTCCCTCTAACTGCCTCTTCTGTTTTCTGAGTCTCAAGACCATCTCTTTCTTGGTTCTGCCTTGTTCTCCTAATTCCTAATGGAGCACACTGTTCAATAATTTTCTGAGAAAGGGTGTATGGGAGGCACTTTTGAGACTCTTCATTTCTGAAATGGAATTTTATTCTATTTTTATACTTCACTGATAACTTGTCTAGGCATAGAATTCAGTATTCAAAGGTATTGCTTTTAATATCTTCACGCTGGAAGTACTGTTGAGAAAGCTAATACATTCTGATTCTTGATCCTTTATGTCTGAGTAGTTTTCCTGCTCATTTCATTTTATTTTTATCCTCTGGAAAGGTCAGCCCAAAATTTAATCATAATTGCCTCAATTTACGTCATTAATCCATTGTACTGAGTACTAGTGGTCAAATCAATTAGAAGGTTCATATGCTTAAGTTCTCAAAAGTAGTATTTTATCTTTCCTCTACAAGTTTTCTCTCCAATATTTTTTTTCCATTTTCTCTTTCTGAAACACCTGTTAGTCACATATCAGACTTTCCAGACTGATCCTGCAATTTTCTTATCTTTTCTCTTCTATTGTCTATTTTGATGTCTTTTTATTCTATTTTCTGGGAGGTTTCTTAGATTCTATCTTAGATTCTTAGAGCCTAAAAGGATCTATTTCAGCTTTTACATTTTAATGTCTGCAAACTCATTTTGGTTCACTGATGATGTTTCATTGTTTTTAAATAGTTTCCTGTTCCTGTTCATGACTGTAATATCTTATATATTAATTATATAATCTTTATTTCACCTCTGTACTGTTTTTCTTAAAATCACTCTTTTTTAAAATTTTAAAACTATTTTATTGTTTTTAAAAATGTTTTATCTATTTTTGAGAAAGAGACAGAACACGAGTCAGGGAAGGGCAGACAGAGAAAGAGAGACACAGAATCTGAAGCAGACTTCAGGCTCTGAGCTGTCAGCACAGAGCCCAGTGCAGGGCTCGAACCCATGAGTGGTGAGATTATGACCTAAGCCAAAGTTGGATGCTCAACCGACTGAACCACCCAGACGCTGCACTGATTGCTCTGCCTTTATGAGGTCCTACAGTGACTAATGGCCAGCTTGATCCTCAGGGTCATCTTTCTCAGCCCAGCTAAATCACTTCTTCCTCCTGCAGTCACTTTCCATTTCCCTGATTTTGTTGTCATCTTTAACCTCCTCATCTCCTCTCTTACTCCTCTGTCAGTGAGATGACTGGAAGAAGTAAACACATGTATTCCGTGCACCCTGTTTTAACAAGGCCATGAGTTTTACTGAAGCGACTAATGGCCAGCCCAAGAAACAGAAACACTTGCTTTCCTGAAGGAAGCATGCAAACCCCAGCTGACTATTAGCTGAATTCCACACCACTGGTTCAAGAGCCTTCACAGAAGCAGTAAATGTCGATGCAGATATACATATCCATGCAACTGTGAAAAACAGAAGTGCCCCCAAACTGCAAGAAAACTGCTATTGACCGCTCAGTTGGCTAAGTTATAAATCTCTATGTTGATTTTAAATGTAGACATCCAGGTACATTTCACTGTTCCCAAGGTTTCTTCTTGGGGATAACAGCCAATCATACAAGTCCGGGTTGTTATAGTGCAGAAGACCACAGTTCTGCAACAGGTTCCATAACAGACGTGCTGTAGTGGCCCTTGTGTGATAATGTGTAGCGGGCAAACAAGCAGTGGCCAGACTTGATTGACTAGAACTGTAGCCCTTGAAAACTTGGTGTTTCTGCCCAGATGCTGCAGAAGTGGCATCCTTCGCCCCAAGCCTCACTGTAATAGACTCACCATAATAAAACAACAATTTAGTATCTAGTGCTAAACATTTTGCTTTAGGGAAGTGTGATTAGTCATCATAACAGATGCTAAAGATTACTATTAAAATGATAATAAAAAAAACAATTCCATTTTTCTTGCCTGGGAATTTAACTACAACTTTAACCTTTTTTTAAAAAAATTATTTATTTTTGAGAGACAGAGAGAGAAAGACCATGAATGGGGAAGGAACAGAGAGAGAGGGAGACACAGCATCCAAAGCAGGCTCCAGGCTCTGAGCTGTCAGCACAGAGCTTGACGCGGGGCTCGAACTCACGAACTATGAGATCATGACCTGAGCTGAAGTCTAGACACTTAACCAGCTGAGCCACCTAGGCTCCCCTACAACTTTAATCTTATAAATGAAATGATTTGGTGTAAAAGCAATACCTTTTTATCACTAGATTCTTATCTGAAAATTTACTTTGTGGTGCCACTGAAAGTGACCACCAAACCCTACACTGTACTGAAACTTTTCAGTCTGTGATGAGCACTGTGGTAAATACCAGGCTCATTTTTTTTTTTTTTTTATGTGCTAATTGTTCCGGGTAAAGACAGTGGTCAACCACTATATAAACAGTCACCAGGTTGGGGACTGAATAATGTTGGAGAAGAAGAAAGGAATCTTGACCATCATGGACCAATACAAAGAAAGGTTTGGCCATAAATGCTGGTTTTGTTTGCATCAAGAACTATGGGACAGTTTGATAAAAGCTTTTGGATAATTCGGTAAATAGCTGCAAATTAAAGATGACGGATTGACTCCCACTTGTTTATCTTAGTTGTCTCCTAAAAATATAAACGAACATAAAAAATAAATACACAGGAACAAAGGGGCTGAAGGAGGGATCATCTGCAAAAGATATATTTCAGTACAATTCTGGAAGATGGGTGGATGGAACAGTAGAAACTGGCTTAAGAGAACAGCAAAAGCTACATTCTCGTGTCATCCTAGAGGTCAGTACAGAAAAAGCCCAGATTATGCTACTGCGATTCAGAGTGCCCTGGGTCCAGAGATCATCAGAGGAAGATGCTGATGAGAGGTCCCAGGATCCCAGAAGTGAGGACGAGGGGAAAGACTGGGGCCTGAGGGAATGTGGGCATTTGGAGTTGTTAGATCTTCAGGTCTCCTGTCCCATTTCTTGCAGCCGGGTGATTACCTCCAGCTGGAGAAACAGCAGAGACTTGTACACCGGGCATGAAGAAAGGCAGGAGTAAGGCACCTACAGGAAAGAAAAGAACATGAAAAATTGCATGGTAAACTGTGACTCACCTGGACCCCCTCCCCTGAACTGCTTCCAGAATACTGGCAGCCAGGTGAATGTCACTTCAGGCAAGAGACTGCAGATACTTCTCCTGAGAAACTGAAGGACCCAAAAGGAAAGAAGAGCCTATAGAACAAAGAGCCTTCACCTGGTGACCATACAGCAAGCCCTCACCTTCTCATCCTTAAGCATCATTTCTGGTGGTTTTTATGACCTCATTCTGAAGTATGAAAGGAGCGTCAAGGGTCTGCAGACATTTGATGAAAGACTTCCACATGGTGAAATTTTAGAATACTAGAGAACTAGGGAGCATGATGATGACATTTCAAAATATTAGAAATAAAGAGCCTCTTCAACAAGTTTCTAGAAAGACAAATTCCAGGTCACAAAGAAATGGGAATTGATTTGGCCCTGGGATTCTCAACAGACACACTGGATATTAGAAGATAAAAGCGCAACTTTTATCCATTTATTAATGAAGAATTTCAAGTCAGAACCCTACACTTGGTCAAGTGTTCCATCTATAGTAAGGGTTGAATAGAACCATTTCAAGTGTTACCTTCTGTACCTTTTCTTGGGTTGGGACTGGGACGTGCACCGTGAGAAATGAAGCAGTAACCAGGAAAGAAGGCATAGGACAGAGAAATGGGGTCTGTGCTCTGGAGATGAAGAAATGTCCCCGGAGGACAGCTAAGCAGCGGGTCCTGAGAGAAATTCATCTCCTTGGAGCCGGAGGACAGTGAACTTTTGGAGGAATGTTTTGGGGGTGGGGGGGGGGGGGGTGGAAATGGGATTGTTTGGTCATTTGGAAAATAAATTTGATAGTCATTTGATAGATATGTTGTAGAAAAAATATAAGGATGTGTGCATAACAAACTAAGTAAACAGATTAAAGGCTTTATAAGAAAGAAAACAACCACAGTGCACTAATTGGCTCTGTTGTGACTGGTATTTGCATAGTCACCAGCTACTTAGTAGCCCTCGACTGTGAGTGAGCTCTGTTGGAAGAAGAGTGGAAGGGGAAATTATGGGGTTTGAAAGAGCTAAATCCTTATCTAACGGCAACGGGCAGTCAAAGCGCAACATCTAAAATGATAAATCCAAAGACAGCAGTCTAAATGATTTAGCAGTGGAGTGGTTGGGGCACCTGGCTGGCTCAGTCAGAAGAGCATGCAACTCTTGATCTTGGGAGTCATGAGTTCAAGCCCCACGTTGGGTATAGAGATAACTTAAAAATAAAACCTTAAGGGGCGCCTGGGTGGCTTAGTCGGTTAAGCGTCCGACTTTCGCTTAGGTCATGATCTCGCGGTTCGTGGGTTCGAGCCCCGCGTCGGGCTCTGTGCTGACTGCCAGCTCAGAGCCTGGAGCCTGTTTCAGTCTGTGACTCCCTCTCTCTCTGACCCTCCCCTGCTCACACTGTCTCTCTCTCTCCTAGAAATAAATAAAACATTAAAAAAATTAAAAAAATAAATAAATAAAACCTTAAAAAAAAAAAGAAATGGGAAGGTCAATGACAGAAGAGAGAGCTAAAAGTGGATAGTGGATGTCTCTAGAAAGAAGATTAAGAAGGTAAGGAAGAGGTGGGTATTGCATTGTCTTAAAATACTACATTACCTTTAAAAAGTGTGTATGCTTATATTGTGTTTAAAAACTAAGAATAAAATTTTGAAGTTCACTTGCTGAGCGTGAAACAGGGAACAACCAAACCTTGTCTCATAATGTAATTTTCAGGAGATATCTGACCCATAAACATTAAAATAGAAGTTGCGTATCATCTCTGGCAACCTAGTATTAACCTGAAATAAAATATGATATGCCTTCCATGCCCTCTTTACTTTTAGTACTCATACGTATGGACTAGATTCCTGTCAGAACTTTCACAAATATTTCTTTAGGAACAGTGGTTATAAATTAAACCTTTGATAACTGGTGTTCCCAAACAGGCGAAAGAGAACCACAAAAAAGTCAGTTTCATCCTGAATTGTTTCCATAGCAACCATATTAAGCTGGAAGGATAAAGCACCTTTGTAGTCTCTGCTTCTATTGAATTACAATGTAAATGTTGATGCCTGCCTGGAAACGTCAAATGACAACAGGTTTATAGAAGGGATTCGGCGGTTGTTTGCAGCTCTGGAATCCCAGGCTAGAGTTGCGATAGAAGAGGCAGGCCTGGGCCATCTTAGCTTCTATTCACCCCAAATCTCCTCACCTCATCAAAACCACGCCACTGGCCATCTGCCCAGCTCAGGAGAGGATGCTCACCTATGTGAAAATCTGTAATCTCCCTGGTATCTTTTACACATCGGGACACGAAAAGTGTTTGTTCTGGATAAGAATGTTAAAAATGCAATTACACAACAGACTCAGCAATCTTTGTGTTTTTCTCCCCCCCTCGGCGCGGAGAGTAAACTTCAGTCCCTCACTCTTCTGACAACGTCAAAAGTCCTCTTCAAGTGCGTGTTCAAAGCCCTGCGGTTGTGCTGCGCGTTTGACTCCGGTTCGGTTGGCTCGGGGTACCTGGGTTCAGCTCGCCTTTAGGCCTTCCGTTCGACCCACAATCCCTAGAGGTGGCAAGTGTTTCTTTTCCTCCTGCTCCCCCCACCCCGCCCCCCACCCCCGGCGGGGCCTCCGGGACGAAGGAAAGCGTCGCGTGAAGTCTACTCCTAGCAATGACCCTCAGCTCCCACGGGCTGCTGCAGAACTGCAAGCGTGCCGCCGCTCCACTCAGGTAAACTACGGAGTGAGTTACCTGCACTTGGAGAAGGGCCTTACCTGAGCGCGCCTCTGCCAATGGCAGCTCACCTGAGGCAGCTCTGCAGCCAATCACCGCGCAGCTCGTCCCTCGGGCTTGTATCCTTTAGTGAAAGAATTCAGCTCCTTGCGAGAAAGTTACCTGTGGCCGCCCAAGTCCGCCACTTTCTGCTCTGTGGCTGCCCATTGCCACGCTCCTGGAGGACTCCGCGCCGCCCGGCCGCCTCCGAGCTCGGGCCCCATGTGAGGGCCCCCCCCTTATCCCACCTTTCCGGCTAGGTGAGGGCGCGAGCGGGCGAGCGAGCGAGAGTGGTGAGGGGGGACGGAAAAGCAGAATTACCTGTAGCTCTTGTTCTGCCATCTCGGGCGCTCTCACACACCTTCACCTGCACAGACTTGAAAGTCCAGTTTCACCAGAGGCTGAGGCTCCAGGAAAAGGGGAGCGAGTTCATTGGATCAAACATGTCACAAGAGTCGGACAAGTAAGTGGATCACACGCGCCGGCTGCTGCTACTACCACTTTGGGCTGATGGCAACTGGTTTGTTATGTTTTTGTTTTTGGTGGTTTTTTTTTTTTTTTTAGTTGCTATTGTTGGTATTTTTTTTCTTTCTTTCTTTTTTTTTTTTTTCCTTTTTCTTTTTCTTTTTGGTGTATCCAGACTTTTCCAGATTGTGTTTCTACCCCGGTTAAGGGGAGGAACCCTACAAGAATGTGAATGTTTAATACCCCCTTTGGGCCTTGATAGTCACAGTATGTTCTCCTCTTTTCTTCCTCCCTCGCGAATGGTCTCAGCTCCCGTCTCCCAGGGCGAACACTTGCATATTGACAGAGGTTTTGGTAGCTGAGGGCGGGCGGCCTGTTATTCACCCTCTAGTTGCTCCTACCGCTTCAGGCTTCTAAGGCCATTTGGAAATTGAGCTGAGTTCCTACGAGGTGTGCAAAGGGCCTGCGAGGAGAGCGGGTCCCGGCTGCTTTTGTGTGCGCGCAACAAAGAGCCTTTATACCGGAGCAGAAACGGCCATCTTCCCGCACTGGGGCAGGAGAGTGCGTGTGCGCGCCCGCGTGTGCGCCCCGGGCCGGGGCGAGGGGCGCGGGGCGCGGCGGCCGGGGTCGCGGGGCTCCGGCCCCCGCCCCCCTCCCCGACGCCCCCGCGGGGTTTGGTCGCCTCGCGCAGGTGCGGGAGGCCCGGGCCCTACGGAAATGAGGGGCATTGATTTGAGGCCCCTATTTTGCACTTCCGTGGGGGCGGGAAAGGCCGCCTGCGACTTGTCGGTGACCCACGTCCGGCCGGCGTGCGCACGCCCCTGCGAGCCCTGGGCCCCGGCGCTCGTCGCCCGCGGCCGCCACCTCGGGCGTGGCTGGCTGGGCGGCGGGGGTCGCGCCGGGCCTTCCCGGGGGGACTCGGAGGGCTCGGGGCGGCGGGGCCCGGCTTCCCGCGCCTCGGAGGCAGCGCGGGCAAGCGCGTCCTTTCCGTCCGGGGCGGGAGCTCTGGGCTCGCCCGGGATCGGCGGCCTGCGCGGCCCGAATCGCGGGGATACGGGCCCCGGTCCAGTGGCGTCCCGGCGGCCTCCCGCAGGCCTGGCCCCTGCCTCCGGGACGGCTTTGTGCTTAGCAGGGGGAGGTGGGGCCGAGGGCGGGAGCGGGAGGGAGCCGGAGGTGGGTCCCGCGGCCTTACTTGGGATTAAGTGGCGACGCTCCCTTCCCCCTCTCGGGCGCGTCCCGGGCTGGGAACTGGCTGAGTCCTCTTGGAAGTGCGTACGGGCCACCTTTCGGTTTGGTAACTTTACTCTGTGTTGTGGCCACTTCAAGGAGACCTTCCTGAGGGTGTCTCCGCCCGGGCCGGGACCGCGCGCCGGGAGGCCGTCGGACCGGCTCCCGAAGTGGCCCGCGGCCAGTCCCACGATGACGGACCCCGAGCGGGCCCCGGCTGTGCCCAGAGGACCTGTCCAGGGGTGGAGGGGTGGGCCATCTTCAAAGTAGAGCCGCTGGTAGAGTAGGCGTATCGAACAACACAGGCTGTCGTACTTAAAAAACAACAAAACAAAACAAAACAACAAAAAACCCTTTACCAGATGTTAGTGCCGATTAACCCACCAACGAAGAGCTGACTGCTTGCTGCGCAGCAGAGGGGAAGAGCTGGTGTTAAACGCTGGAAGAGGGTAGGAGTGGGGGTAGGGAGAGGAAGGTGTGTGATTGTAGGAGTACATCCTCCCCACACATTTTCTCTGGAGCCTTTCAGTACTCGAGCTTGAAAACTGAAGTAGCCAGAGGCCAGGGATGACAGCAGACCTTTTTGGATTGTTTTGATCTTCGTGTCAAAAATGGTTGCAAATCGGATACGACTTAACTGCAATTCCTTAATTAAATCACACGATTAACAGTTGGTTGCACTGCCTAGTTTTGTAATGCAACATGACTCGAAATGAATTCGTGTGGAAAACGGGTCGATTTTTATTTTGACCTGTTATAACTCGCGCCTACAAACGATTTATTTAGTAATGAAAATAAGTGCAGCACGATGCATTACTTAATTTTTATGGATAATAACTATTTGGGATTGCTTATATTTAATGAAAGTAGCTTTTATCTAGTTTCCAAGACATAATTTTGTATCCTGGGAAAAGTAATGCTAATAAGAACGACACCCATGAAAGACTGTTGCGCCCTAATTGCCTCTCTTTGCTTGGGCTTTTGAGAAATGCTTGAAATTAATAAACGATACTTGGGATTAATTTTGGGAACTCTAGCCTTTGTTTTCTTAATGTTCGTATTCTAATGGAGGGCCGGCAGGGGTGGGTCTGGGTTTCTCGGGCCTGAAGTATATGCCATTGTGTGTGTTAGGTGGGGTGGGGGTGTGGGCTCTAATAAAAAGGGCAGGAGAGCAAGTTACCGGGGCTTCGGGGCTTCCTGCAAGAGCAGGCGGAGTCCCGAAGCTTGAGCTTTCTCAGCTTCATGGGAAATCCACAGAGAAGTAGTTTTCTTCTAGTTTTCTAGAAGTAGCCTAGAAGAATACACACTGGATATTTTTCCATAAACCCATCTAACTGTAGGTAATCTTTTGGTTAGCAGAGGACGACAATTCCAGTTAGCAAGTCTGAACTGAAGTAGCATCATCTATTTTATGGTTGTGGACTTTTCAGATTGAAACGTTCTGCTTTTTATGTTCTGTAATGTTGATGCTATCACTAATTAAAACAAAGTATTTTTAGGACAGCTTGTCTATGTACATATTTGAAGATTCTCTGTTCCTCCTTAAATTTTATGAAGATTTATGATCATTGTCAACAAGCTTGTGTATTCTAGCAAGGCAATGATAGATTTAGACTCTTTTTTTGCTGCAAAATATGCAAAATATATTCAGAGAGGATATAATATTATATAATTTTGATATCCACAGGTACTTTTCATTACACAAATGTTTTCTGATTACCAACCTTTTGTAACACATTCAGATAGGCATTATGAGAGAATAAAGAGATGTATCAAGGTGAGCCACATCCTCAAGGGGCTTACACTCTTGTGGAAGGTGAGACACGAGCACACATAATTTTAATTAAGGTGATACCTGGTAAGTGCCTAAAAGTCACAAAGAAAATATAATAATGTATTTATCAGATCATGGTATATCTATCCTTCTTCCTACTCACCTCATTTTTGTCTAGGACAATTACTTTCAGTCATTCTCTGTGGTTTAAAATGTCTGGTCATTATTCCAGAAAGGAAACAGAAATTGCTCAAAGTTATACCACACGAGATGATAGTAATGGGAGAAAACATTTTCATTAACTTTCTACTCTTTAGTTTTATACCTGCATGTTTCTTTCCACGTGGCTATATAAAATGTATTTTAAGATCACAAACATTAAGAAGGAATCGTATCTTCCTCAAACCACTAAAAATCATTCATTTATTCAGCAAATGTATCTCGAGTGCCAGGCCTTGATCTTGGCATTGAGATTCACTAGCGAATAGAACAGAGTCCTTGCCCTAATCATGGTTACATTCTAGTAGGAGGGAAAACAGACAGTCAAGAAGGAATACATAACACATTAGAGAGTGATAAGTGATATGAAGGAAAGCAAAGCAGACCAAAGAGATGAAGAATAATGGGAGTGATTTTTAAATAAGGTGGTCAGGGATGACCTCTCACATGAGATGCACTGGAGATACTGGGGGCAAGAGTACGGGTCGATGGAAGAGCAAATGCAAAGGCCCTGAGGTGGGAGAGTCCTTGGCATATTCAGAAAGGGAGCCGTACATGAGAGAGACAGAGAGATAATGGTAATGAAGTAAACTAACACAATCAATTCTCTCCTTAATAGTCTGGATATCTGTATATTTAAAAATAGACAATTATAAATGGTTGTGGCACTGGAGAGGTGAGTAAATAATAAGCTAATAGCATCAGTCTTATCTCTTTCCCCAAGTATCACCGGTCTAATGGTTAAGCTCTAGTGTTCTCTTCCCCACAATGGACTAACTTCTGTATGCTCCTTAATTTAGAGATGAGTAAGTACACACATCCTAGAAGATTCCTGGGAACTAGAACAGGAGAAGAGGGATGGAGTACAGATGGTGCTTGCTGCCCCACCCTGCCTTAATGTAACCTACCATCCTTCAGCCACTGTCTCAACCCTTGCGCGTTATCCTACAAAATAAAGCTTGCCTCTCCTGCCTTCCTCCTGCCCTCATTCAGTTTCTGCAAATTTGCATCTCTTAGGGAACTAGACGTATCCACTGTGTTTAGACGTGAGACCCTCCAGTCTGCTTTGACTAGCTTGGTATTTTCAATGAAGTAAACTAATACACAGGCAAAGTTAACATATTGAAAAATAAGAACATGCTAAATGACAAGATAAGAATTTGGATTGACTTAAAAAAAAAGTTGAATTACATGTGTGCCTAATAAATACGCTTTTGTCTTTCTGTATACCATGCTTAATAATAGAAATCTCCAAGAAATCCTTTAAATCATTGCTTTCCAATTTCATCTGGTTACAAAAATATCATCTGAGGCATTTGGTAAAACTACAGATTCCAGGGTCCCGTCCCCGAGCTATGGAATCAGAGAGGCCAGGAGATCTGAATTTAAAAATTGTCCCAGTTACATTTTGTGTATATTAATGATAGTGAAATAATCCTTTAAGTGAATACTCAACATTATTTTACAAAATAAATTCAGTTTATGTGCTCCCTTCTCAGGTGTACATCCTCTGTGTCAGTGAAAAGAAACAGGGGAGCTGTATTTTACATTCTTTGTGCTACCCAGTTTAAGCAGCTTCTGATGTAATTTCAACTTGGTTTATGAATTCTTTGGCCTCCTGTCAGTTTTGTTTGCTTTAGTTGTTTTACTAAACTGCCCCTTCTGGAAGAATGGGATCCTTTTGACAGGTCATAAATTTCCAGAGCTGCTAAAGACCTGATTTGGAGTGATGTCATCCATGTGGGCCTCTGCCAGGCTCCTAGCTAAAGTGTCAAGCT